TGTCTCATGCTCGAGCGGCTATCGAGAGCCCATCGAGCGTGATTTTCACATATCTAGTACTTTTGCCCTGTTTTGCAGAACGCTCGAGCGTGAAAGTCTACGCTCGAGCGGATACCTTTGTCTGCATGTCCGCTCGAGCGGGTAAACCTACGCTCGAGCGGGACCTCTATTTTTTTGAAAATTCTGAAATATTTTTCTGAATGCATCTTTGCATCCTCATCCCATCCTAGGCATTCTTAGGCCTAGTTTAAGACATCTTAATGAGGATATTAGTGTAGAACACACCGAGGCAAATTAGGGATTAAGTATTATCTTTCCTAACTGTGTAGCTTAGTGTGTGTTCAATCTGTAACTGTGTAGGGTTGGTATCTGGGACGCGCTCTAGCTTAACTGTAGCCCAGAACTCTGTGAGTAACAACTGTGTAAAGATATGTTCAAAATGATTATCTTCTGAACAATTAAACTGTACTGCTTTCTGAACTGATACTGTTAATTGAATGAATGTATCTCCTATATTCTGAACTGTATTGTGGCATCCTTAGCAACTACTGTCTACTGTTACTGCTACTGTTACAGAGATCTCTGTCGGTTCCCTTGTTGGAACCACTACTGTTTACTGATTGATGGCCATCATTGACTGCTCGGTCTTTTAAGACCTACTGTTTACTGTACTGTTATGCTAATGGATGTACCACATATGACTGAATGACTGATATACTGAATTAACGAACATTTTCATTACTGTAAGGACATTCATTCTTAACCTCTTTATGCATTACGTTATTCACTGGGCTTTAGCTCACTGCTCATATATATATGTAGATGTACAGCACCAGACCGTGGCTAGAAGCGTTGGTGTAACTCCAGTTTTGTCAAGCCAACCACTGTGCCTCACTACGAGGTTCCGAGCCTATCAAGTTATGGCTTAGGGGTGTTTTAATTTCCCGCTATCTTTGTATTTGTTTTGTATAACTGTTTAGACTGTTACTGTACTGTTTAATAGGGATTAGGTCCCTGAACTGAATAATTGTATATATGTACATATTGTTATGTATTGTTCATGTATATGTGTATGAAAAATCTTTTTGCTACAGACTCACAGCTCATTGGACAGGAGTGTTGATATTAACTGTTAGTTGCATCACATAGTCTTGTTGCATGCTTGATATGTTCATGTTTAGCTTGCATGAATAGGTAGCATGGCATTGCATTAGGTGCATTACTTTGCATTATATATGGCATACATCGCATTGCATTTTTCTTGGTTTGGGGTGTCGTAGACTGGTAGACTAGTAGTAGAAGAATAGCCTACGCACATGAAATTCAAAAGAGAGAAGCCCATCTCAAATTGAAACTCTACAGGAGACGCTCTAGTCTTACTGTAGCCCAGAACTCTGTGAGTAACAACTGTGTAAAGATATGTTCAAAATGATTATCTTCTGAACAATTAAACTGTACTGCTTTCTGAACTGATACTGTTAATTGAATGAATGTATCTCCTATATTCTGAACTGTATTGTGGCATCCTTAGCAACTACTGTCTACTGTTACTGCTACTGTTACAGAGATCTCTGTCGGTTCCCTTGTTGGAACCACTACTGTTTACTGATTGATGGCCATCATTGACTGCTCGGTCTTTTAAGACCTACTGTTTACTGTACTGTTATGCTAATGGATGTACCACATATGACTGAATGACTGATATACTGAATTAACGAACTATTTTCATTACTGTAAGGACATTCATTCTTAACCTCTTTATGCATTACGTTATTCACTGGGCTTTAGCTCACTGCTCATATATATATGTAGATGTACAGGCACCAGACCGTGGCTAGAAGCGTTGGTGTAACTCCAGTTTTGTCAAGCCAACCACTGTGCCTCACTACGAGGTTCCGAGCCTATCAAGTTATGGCTTAGGGGTGTTTTAATTTCCCGTCTATCTTTGTATTTGTTTTGTATAACTGTTTAGACTGTTACTGTACTGTTTAATAGGGATTAGGTCCCTGAACTGAATAATTGTATATATGTACATATTGTTATGTATTGTTCATGTATATGTGTATGAAAAATCTTTTTGCATACAGACTCACAGCTCATTGGACATTGTTTACTTACTGTATTGGCTTCTGCCAGCCCCTGTACTCTGTATTACTGTTCTACTGTTAAGTAGGCCTTCGGTAATCTCAGATTACTGGCCGGTTACGGTACTAAACCCATAGGGATGGGTTTGGGTTGTGACAATATCTATGGTGATAGAGAAGGTCAGATTTCGAAGAAATGTGCGTACCTTGTAGAGTTCAACTACCACGTTGTCAAGAGATTCCTGAGATTCAAGGGAGCATAGATAGCGGAAAGATGGAAAATTGAGCTTTCATTAATCATTTTTAGAAAATATGCATAAAATTCAAACAATATCAATGCCCAGATCTTTAACCCACAATAGTACAATCAAGGTTTGGCTTAAAGTCATTCTCCTAGAAAACTGATCTTTAACCCACCATTTATTGATTTATCATATAAAATTCACCAAATTTATGTTGGTTCAAAATGGGAAGAATTTATTAATCCACCTATGTATAAAACTTATTGCTTAAAGACAAAGGAAAGTGTGGGAAGAACTTATTAATCCACTCATGCTATCATCAAGACAATGGATTGAAGTGAGAGAAACAAGTAGCTATCAGCAAATATCAACAATCAATCTAATCTATTAATAGTTCTTCTCTCTCTTCCAAAATCCTATGAGCTTGTTTTCTAAATTTTTTATTTGACTATTAGAATAGCTGATGACATTCATGAAGTACCATCAGCAATGTAATTTTTTTAAAGGGGTTTCAAAACCTCTTCACTGCAACAAGGATTGCCATGTCCAATTTTAGCAATCCATCACTAGCATTTGAACCCTTGAACTGAGGTGCATGGGGTCATACTCAAGAGCAACAGGCTCAAGGAGGGCTAGTATGGATTCGTATGTCCAAACTGCAATAAATAGGATTGTTCATTCAAATAGGAGTGTTGCTACCTACAGCCAATAATCCACCTACAAGCAAAATAAATAACAACAAATCAAATGAACAAAACAACCATGCAACTGTTAAACTTTATCTTTTTAGTAGATTGTTACCTTCATCTGCCACAGGTTCAACATGGTTTTCATTATCAATCACTGTAAAGGAGACATTCCCCAACCACAAAACTGCAGTGAGCATTTTAAATACACTTTCTTGATCCTCTTTGCTAACATGAACAATATCCAGAGCTTCCTGAAGAGTGAAAAAAGACACAATGACGTTCATATATAAATCAACCCCTATTTCTAAACTTGAAGGGGAAAGGGAAAAATAAGACTCTAAAAGCATTGATGGTTATAACTGTGTTCATAATAATAAGAACAAGAACAAGAACAAGAAAATACCATTACAATGCGAAACTGTCTAGCATCATCAACCCCAGAAATTGAATAGCAATTGCTTTGCCTCAAGTATTTATATTCATTTGCACTTTTCAAATTCAACGTCTCTGTGTTACAAAGCAACAAAGTGTAAAAGAATAATAAATACATAAAAAACAAAAAATGGGGAAAAGGTGTAACATAGAGGACAATATAAAGGTTGAAAAACTAGGCTAGCATGTGACCTTGTTATGCACATATGCACAAATCTAGCACAAATCTGACACAAAGCAGGATATATCAGAGATTACAAATGCACAAATCTGCATTCGTAACATGCATGTTCCAAACATGGACCAGACGGCTCAAAGCATAACAAGGATATATCAGAGATTACAAATGCACAAATCTGCATTCGTAACATGCATGTTCCAAACATGGACCAGACGGCTCAAAGCATAACAAGGATATATCAGAGATTACAAATGCACAAATCTGCATTCGTAACATGCATGTTCCAAACATGGACCAGACGGCTCAAAGCATAACAAGGATATATCAGAGATTACAAATGCACAAATCTGCATTCGTAACATGCATGTTCCAAACATGTACCAAAAGGCTCAAAGCATAACAAGGATATATCAGAGATTACAAATGCACAAATCTGCATTCGTAACATGCATGTTCCAAACATGTACCAAAAGGCTCAAAGCATAACAAGGATATATCAGAGATTACAAATGCACAAATCTGCATTCGTAACATGCATGTTCCAAACATGTACCAAAAGGCTCAAAGCATAACAAGGATATATCAGAGATTACAAATGCACAAATCTGCATTCGTAACATGCATGTTCCAAACATGTACCAAAAGGCTCAAAGCATAACAAGGATATATCAGAGATTACAAATGCACAAATCTGCATTCGTAACATGCATGTTCCAAACATGTACCAAAAGGCTCAAAGCATAACAAGGATATATCAGAGATTACAAATGCACAAATCTGCATTCGTAACATGCATGTTCCAAACATGTACCAAAAGGCTCAAAGCATAACAAGGATATATCAGAGATTACAAATGCACAAATCTGCATTCGTAACATGCATGTTCCAAACATGTACCAAAAGGCTCAAAGCATAACAAGGATATATCAGAGATTACAAATGCACAAATCTGCATTCGTAACATGCATGTTCCAAACATGTACCAAAAGGCTCAAAGCATAACAAGGATATATCAGAGATTACAAATGCACAAATCTGCATTCGTAACATGCATGTTCCAAACATGTACCAAAAGGCTCAAAGCATAACAAGGATATATCAGAGATTACAAATGCACAAATCTGCATTCGTAACATGCATGTTCCAAACATGTACCAAAAGGCTCAAAGCATAACAAGGATATATCAGAGATTACAAATGCACAAATCTGCATTCGTAACATGCATGTTCCAAACATGTACCAAAAGGCTCAAAGCATAACAAGGATATATCAGAGATTACAAATGCACAAATCTGCATTCGTAACATGCATGTTCCAAACATGTACCAAAAGGCTCAAAGCATAACAAGGATATATCAGAGATTACAAATGCACAAATCTGCATTCGTAACATGCATGTTCCAAACATGTACCAAAAGGCTCAAAGCATAACAAGGATATATCAGAGATTACAAATGCACAAATCTGCATTCGTAACATGCATGTTCCAAACATGTACCAAAAGGCTCAAAGCATAACAAGGATATATCAGAGATTACAAATGCACAAATCTGCATTCGTAACATGCATGTTCCAAACATGTACCAAAAGGCTCAAAGCATAACAAGGATATATCAGAGATTACAAATGCACAAATCTGCATTCGTAACATGCATGTTCCAAACATGTACCAAAAGGCTCAAAGCATAACAAGGATATATCAGAGATTACAAATGCACAAATCTGCATTCGTAACATGCATGTTCCAAACATGTACCAAAAGGCTCAAAGCATAACAAGGATATATCAGAGATTACAAATGCACAAATCTGCATTCGTAACATGCATGTTCCAAACATGTACCAAAAGGCTCAAAGCATAACAAGGATATATCAGAGATTACAAATGCACAAATCTGCATTCGTAACATGCATGTTCCAAACATGTACCAAAAGGCTCAAAGCATAACAAGGATATATCAGAGATTACAAATGCACAAATCTGCATTCGTAACATGCATGTTCCAAACATGTACCAAAAGGCTCAAAGCATAACAAGGATATATCAGAGATTACAAATGCACAAATCTGCATTCGTAACATGCATGTTCCAAACATGTACCAAAAGGCTCAAAGCATAACAAGGATATATCAGAGATTACAAATGCACAAATCTGCATTCGTAACATGCATGTTCCAAACATGTACCAAAAGGCTCAAAGCATAACAAGGATATATCAGAGATTACAAATGCACAAATCTGCATTCGTAACATGCATGTTCCAAACATGTACCAAAAGGCTCAAAGCATAACAAGGATATATCAGAGATTACAAATGCACAAATCTGCATTCGTAACATGCATGTTCCAAACATGTACCAAAAGGCTCAAAGCATAACAAGGATATATCAGAGATTACAAATGCACAAATCTGCATTCGTAACATGCATGTTCCAAACATGTACCAAAAGGCTCAAAGCATAACAAGGATATATCAGAGATTACAAATGCACAAATCTGCATTCGTAACATGCATGTTCCAAACATGTACCAAAAGGCTCAAAGCATAACAAGGATATATCAGAGATTACAAATGCACAAATCTGCATTCGTAACATGCATGTTCCAAACATGTACCAAAAGGCTCAAAGCATAACAAGGATATATCAGAGATTACAAATGCACAAATCTGCATTCGTAACATGCATGTTCCAAACATGTACCAAAAGGCTCAAAGCATAACAAGGATATATCAGAGATTACAAATGCACAAATCTGCATTCGTAACATGCATGTTCCAAACATGTACCAAAAGGCTCAAAGCATAACAAGGATATATCAGAGATTACAAATGCACAAATCTGCATTCGTAACATGCATGTTCCAAACATGTACCAAAAGGCTCAAAGCATAACAAGGATATATCAGAGATTACAAATGCACAAATCTGCATTCGTAACATGCATGTTCCAAACATGTACCAAAAGGCTCAAAGCATAACAAGGATATATCAGAGATTACAAATGCACAAATCTGCATTCGTAACATGCATGTTCCAAACATGTACCAAAAGGCTCAAAGCATAACAAGGATATATCAGAGATTACAAATGCACAAATCTGCATTCGTAACATGCATGTTCCAAACATGTACCAAAAGGCTCAAAGCATAACAAGGATATATCAGAGATTACAAATGCACAAATCTGCATTCGTAACATGCATGTTCCAAACATGTACCAAAAGGCTCAAAGCATAACAAGGATATATCAGAGATTACAAATGCACAAATCTGCATTCGTAACATGCATGTTCCAAACATGTACCAAAAGGCTCAAAGCATAACAAGGATATATCAGAGATTACAAATGCACAAATCTGCATTCGTAACATGCATGTTCCAAACATGTACCAAAAGGCTCAAAGCATAACAAGGATATATCAGAGATTACAAATGCACAAATCTGCATTCGTAACATGCATGTTCCAAACATGTACCAAAAGGCTCAAAGCATAACAAGGATATATCAGAGATTACAAATGCACAAATCTGCATTCGTAACATGCATGTTCCAAACATGTACCAAAAGGCTCAAAGCATAACAAGGATATATCAGAGATTACAAATGCACAAATCTGCATTCGTAACATGCATGTTCCAAACATGTACCAAAAGGCTCAAAGCATAACAAGGATATATCAGAGATTACAAATGCACAAATCTGCATTCGTAACATGCATGTTCCAAACATGTACCAAAAGGCTCAAAGCATAACAAGGATATATCAGAGATTACAAATGCACAAATCTGCATTCGTAACATGCATGTTCCAAACATGTACCAAAAGGCTCAAAGCATAACAAGGATATATCAGAGATTACAAATGCACAAATCTGCATTCGTAACATGCATGTTCCAAACATGTACCAAAAGGCTCAAAGCATAACAAGGATATATCAGAGATTACAAATGCACAAATCTGCATTCGTAACATGCATGTTCCAAACATGTACCAAAAGGCTCAAAGCATAACAAGGATATATCAGAGATTACAAATGCACAAATCTGCATTCGTAACATGCATGTTCCAAACATGTACCAAAAGGCTCAAAGCATAACAAGGATATATCAGAGATTACAAATGCACAAATCTGCATTCGTAACATGCATGTTCCAAACATGTACCAAAAGGCTCAAAGCATAACAAGGATATATCAGAGATTACAAATGCACAAATCTGCATTCGTAACATGCATGTTCCAAACATGTACCAAAAGGCTCAAAGCATAACAAGGATATATCAGAGATTACAAATGCACAAATCTGCATTCGTAACATGCATGTTCCAAACATGTACCAAAAGGCTCAAAGCATAACAAGGATATATCAGAGATTACAAATGCACAAATCTGCATTCGTAACATGCATGTTCCAAACATGTACCAAAAGGCTCAAAGCATAACAAGGATATATCAGAGATTACAAATGCACAAATCTGCATTCGTAACATGCATGTTCCAAACATGTACCAAAAGGCTCAAAGCATAACAAGGATATATCAGAGATTACAAATGCACAAATCTGCATTCGTAACATGCATGTTCCAAACATGTACCAAAAGGCTCAAAGCATAACAAGGATATATCAGAGATTACAAATGCACAAATCTGCATTCGTAACATGCATGTTCCAAACATGTACCAAAAGGCTCAAAGCATAACAAGGATATATCAGAGATTACAAATGCACAAATCTGCATTCGTAACATGCATGTTCCAAACATGTACCAAAAGGCTCAAAGCATAACAAGGATATATCAGAGATTACAAATGCACAAATCTGCATTCGTAACATGCATGTTCCAAACATGTACCAAAAGGCTCAAAGCATAACAAGGATATATCAGAGATTACAAATGCACAAATCTGCATTCGTAACATGCATGTTCCAAACATGTACCAAAAGGCTCAAAGCATAACAAGGATATATCAGAGATTACAAATGCACAAATCTGCATTCGTAACATGCATGTTCCAAACATGTACCAAAAGGCTCAAAGCATAACAAGGATATATCAGAGATTACAAATGCACAAATCTGCATTCGTAACATGCATGTTCCAAACATGTACCAAAAGGCTCAAAGCATAACAAGGATATATCAGAGATTACAAATGCACAAATCTGCATTCGTAACATGCATGTTCCAAACATGTACCAAAAGGCTCAAAGCATAACAAGGATATATCTGAAACTTCTGAACGAGCACATTATGCAACATCACCAAGCGCTCAATCAGTGACATCTGAGTCTTAAGGTCGGTCAAAAATGGGGTGTCTACACATATATAGATAGATAGGTTAGTACTAGCTGTGCAAGTGCTTGTGGAGGTTGATGGTGTACTCCCTAGTCACCACCTCTTTGTTTCTTCCCTTCATCTTCTCCTCCTTAGCCAGATTAGAAGGTGTTTAGGTGGAAATGTGGAGCTTTGAGTGTGTTCTATTCTGGATTTGGGGCTGCAGCCAGATCTCCAATTGAGCTACGATGGTGGCAGTTCTGTTTTATTTTCCTGTTTTTTGGTGGCTACTGTTGGGTTTTGGGGCTGCAGCCTGTTTTTTGGTTGCAACCAGGACATGAGAAGTAATGATCAAATAAATCAATACGTTTTTTTAGTACTTCCTAGTTTAAAAACTCAGCCATAGAATAGAGTGAGACTTCACAAAGCATGCAATTTTGTTTCTAGAAGCTGTATATAATGGGAGGAAAAAATATCTAAAACTCACCTCTCTCTATAGAAAACAAAAGGCTTAGAATGAAATCCAATTGGAGGTTAAGCTGGACTTTTTCACATCTAACCAATGAAATTAAAGTCATTTTTGCTGGATCTTCCCTAAGACAAGTGTGACCTTAACTATGTTATATGGCTACCTAGAACCACTTTATTGTGCATCTAACCAATGAAAGTAAAGTCATTTTGGGTTTGTATGATGGTTGCTAAACTAGTAAAAAGGGTGGAATGTTTCAAAGTTCTTCGTTAGTTGTGTATTTGGATTCAACAAAAAAGGGGCATAATTCAGTGTTGAATTTTCTCTAATCACATTATTAGGCCAAGAAAACTATACAAGTGTACAAGCATTAAAATAATGGACATCAATTTTCTCAAAAATAAATAAATAAATAAACCAAAACAAAATGAAATATAACAATAAAGAAAAAGCTTGTTGTGGCATTTTATCAAACACATATAGGACACATGAATGTGTGCAGCAGCATCAACAACTAAAATACAAAAATTCAAAAACCCACATTTAAACCAGCCAAATTGTAACATTCCAATAGCAACTTAGTAACAATTACACTTAATCATCACACCATGATCTTCACATTCCAATTCCCAATACTGAATTGTTAATTATAGTAACAGAAATAACCACACAAAACACGAAACACAACCATATAAATCATTATAGTGGCTTGAAAGCAATTCTGTGTTTGTATTAATGCTAATGATCCTAAAAAGGAAGTTTTAACAACTAATATACAAAATCCAACAAACCCACATCTAAACCAACCTAATTGTAACAGTCCAACACCAACTTAGTGACAATAAAACTTAATCATCACACTATGATCTTCACATTTCAATTCTCAATAATGAATTGTTAATTAAAGTAAACAGAGCGTATTGTGGGCATGAATAATCAAGGAGATCATATAGAATGATGAGAAAATTACCATGAAAGATGACAAAAGGAAGAGAATATGTGCTTGTTAGTGTACAGGTCAACGTGAAGATGATTAAAATTTTTGGAACTGGTTTAGAAGCCATTGATTATGGTAAAAGGAACACAAAAACCAAAGAAAACCCAAGATTTTAACATGAAATCATAGCAAAAATTTAGGGTTTTTATGGTCCCTGGAAGATTGGGAGTTGTATGAATTCTAGGTTAGGTTTATTTTGAAGCATACATGAGAAACACTGATAGAGGATGAAATATATAGATTATTCATTTATGGATTTGGTTGGTATGTCGGTACATTATGAGAGTGTTTGTAGAGAGAGAGAGAGAGAGAGCAAACTGACCTGAAATCAGGAACCGTTGATGCATCGGTCGATACACCGATGGAGGATCAACCGTTGATACACTGGTCAATACACCAGTGGGCTGTAGCTTGTGAAATCAGGAAGCCTCTGTGACTTCTTGGTGCTACTTCGTGAAAGTATAGATAGACTAGGGCACAAGAAGTATAGATAGATCGACTTGGAGTTGAAACCTTTTTTTTTTGGGACTGAAATTCTGAGCGCTAAATTAGAATTTTTTTGGTGCCTTATTTGTAGCGGTTGAGTTGTAAACGTAACTAAAAAAATATGTATAGCAGCAGTTTAGAAAATAAATGTGACTAAAAACTTAAGTTTAAATTGCAGTTAAAGACCGTCACAATAACCACTTTATAGCTGCGTTTTTTGAGGCGCTGCTATAAAAAAACGCTACTATAGCTTGATTTTCTTGTAGTGATAAGATGCAAATCCAGTCCAACCAAATAGTCCCGGGACAATGTATCACAGGACTAATAGTCCGATGGATTACAATCCCCCCTTATCCAGTCCGCCCAAACAAACACACCCTTAGTTGATTGTAATTAAATCTATAAAATTATGCAAAAGTCCTTGTTATATAGAAGATGATTTTGTTATTTTGTAAAACGAGAGGCAAAATAATCTTTTTACCTCCAATTTCATGGGATTTGATTTCAATACAACATCTTCCATTGGATCGCTAGTCTACTCCTTTGATGGATTTTAGAGTCCCACGAAACTCCTAATCCTATGACAATTTTTTAAATAAACATAATTTTGATGAACCCATCTCACTACTAATCAAATGCCCTCTACAATCTCTGAAAAACAAACATCGCCTAAAAACACAAAAAAATAAGCCAATGCATTCTCAAATTTTCATTGCTTGAAATAATTTTTTGTCTATATCAACGGTCTATTTGAGATTACTTTTCTCAAACCTAAATTTTTTTATTTATTTTTTATTTTTTAAGAACTACAAAGCAAAACATATATAAGATTAACAAAGTAACATAGGAAAGTCGTTTACAAGCCTAGCCTGATCATAAACTGGCTTGATATATTTTGTGTAATTGGTTTCTTGTTTAGAGATAATAATTAAGGCATTAATGATAACAACTAATATCTTTACATGTACTGGGTGATAAAAATTCTGACAAAATTTGGTGATATATAGCCGTTCTTATTTTATTATTATTTCGTTAAATATTTAAATGACCATCAAAAATTACATCATATAGACTTAAATTATAAGCTTTAGAGAAGAAATTAACACAATTAAATTTTAGAGATTAAAGTAACAAGAAAGATATTTTTAAGTACACTTAGGCATCATTTGATTAACAGGACTAATAATCCCATGAATTATTGTATGATTATTTATTTATTTTTATTTTTTTAAGATTTGATTCATATAAGATGATTAGTTTTCCAATTAAATTAATGAGATTTCCATTTATTATATATTCATTTTTTTCCTTTCATAATTGAAATTATGATCCCCAGTCCCTTTCAATATTAAAACTTCGTTAATTTTGTTAGATTAAATGTCTATCATACATGTAATCCGTTTAATAAAATTCGCAATCAAACATATATAAACTAACAATCTCAATCTTATGCTATAATCCTACTAATCAAATATGTCCTAATGATATTTTAATCCTAGTTTTAATGAAGGTGTATATCATTTTCCAATAGTCTAATTAACTGTAAACCTATAATTAGTAGTTAAATACGGCTGTTTAAAAAACAAATAGAAATGTGGAAGATATTTTTTAGTTGAATCTTGAGAAAACATGACTTTTTTTTTTTTGGCTAGTTAAAGGATGACAAGAAACAAAAGAGGGTATTTTCAATTTTTTTGTTAATTAGAAAAATAACCAGAAAAGAGGATATTTTTTATAATTTGTTTGAGACTGCTCGTCGACATTGGGGTGGTTGTTGTGTGTGAAGCATAATATTCATGTTGTGCATACGTTGTGGCTCAATTCAAGTTTTATTTCGATAATTCGAATCGTTTTTTTTAGGGTATGTCATGTAAAACAAATCTACAAAAATTAAATTGATCAGATATTAGTAGCACACTCATCAAAACATGTATATCGAAAAAAATGAATGGCAATAATTATTTTAAACATAAAATTGAATACAAATGTAATTTGATGAAAGGTTTAACGATATCCTTGAATGGCAAGTTTTATTTTAAATATAAAACTGAATACAAATGTAATTTGATAAAAGGTTACCAATATCTGATCAATTTATTTTTTTACAAATTTATCCTACACAATATATCTTAAAAGAATAAACAATTCAAATTATTAAAATAGAATCTAAAATGATGTTTGACTACTGTGCTTCATGGGCAGCAACCACTCCAAATCCATGCTTTGTCACAGTGGAACAGTTCAATAAACAAGGGAACAAGTTATTCCAAGGGAATTGTGTTCCTTTCTTCACCACTTGACTTCATTAATTTTACTTGAAAAAACCAATGCATTGCGCATACGTTATTCAGCTCAGCCACTAATTTTATACTCAAGATTGCAATCAAAGTATTGCCAATGACACATCTCCCTTTCTTTCTCAATCCTCCATTTATTTGGATAAAAAATATTTTTATATAAAATGATTTTAAAAAAATATTTTTTTATATTTAATTATAATTCTAAAATTAATATACTAATAATTATATTACTAATGAATTATTCACCCAAAAAAGTATTACTAATGAAGATCACTGATTGATAGTGATAGTGATAGTGATAGTGGCGGTGGGATAGCAAATGACTGGTGCTTCCGACCCGATCTACTTCATATTTTTATGACTTATAAAAATAAGGGAAAATTATTTATAAGTCTTATTAGGGAGACTTACGCTACATATGGTCTTACTAAAAAATTTATGTTACCATAAGTCCTGTGGGAAGTTTGTTGACACATTTACCTTCAATATTAATTGTTAATATCATAAATAATAGTAAAACCATATATAGGAAATTAAATGTTACCATAGATCATATCTATATAAACGTAATGTAACGTGACGCCTACATAAACGTAACGTGACACCTATGATCTATGAATAACATGTAATTTCAGAAATTGCAATGTTAACGATAGATCATATCTAACATACACGTAACGTAACGTGACACCTACATAAACGGTAACGTGCACGCTATATCCTATGGAACATTCCAATTGTTCTTAGTATAGGAAATTGAATGTTACCATAGACTCATATCTACATAACTTAACGTAACGCGACACCTACATAAACGTAACGTGATACCTAAGATCTATGGCAACATTCAATTTCCTATATTATATGAAACGTAACGTGGCAAACAACATAAACAGCAATATTTTCACATTCAATTTTAAAAAAAATAAAAACTCATTAAGTTTGCGAAACGTAACGTGACACACGTCACGTTACGTTTATGTAGGTGTCCACGTTACGCTTATGTAGGTGTCACGTTATGTTACGTTTATATAGGTTCAATTACGTTACGTTTAATGTAAGTGTCACGTCACGTTATATTTATGTAAATATCACCTCACGTTACGTTTATGTAGGATCTTGTTGAATACATTCCTATCTAAATAGGACTTGAGACTCTATAAAAATTACACAAGACTTATCCTATCAATAAATGTCCTGAAAAAGACTTATAAATAAGTCTTCCAAATATTTATACAGTAAAGTAAATTTGAGGCTCATTTAATGTATATGTACAATAAAAATAATTAAACTAGCAGCCACAAGACAGCCCACAACATTGACTTCGCCATAGACGTCACTGAAAAGCTGTTCCATGATCAAGAGGGCCCTTTGAAGTATATTTCAATGGAAATTAAATTCTCATAGGGACCATATGGAATATATTTTCACAGATTTAAATTCTTATATTGTCGAATATATTACAAGTCTTTAAATTTTTTTTAGGAATATTCAACTTTTTTTTTTTTTTGGGTAAGTAAGGAATATTCAACTTGATGCAGTTAGATGTGGGCATTTCTACTTAAATGGCAGCCGTAGGAGTCTCAAATCTTTCATTGAGTTAATTGTTGAAAAATCTAAATAAGAAATGTAGAAGATATTAGGTTCAGTTAATATTTTTTGTTGATT